AGGCAAGAATACTGGAGTGGGTTGCCATGCTCTTCTCCAGGGGATCTTCCCGACTCAGGGATTGATCTTGGATCTCCTCCTGCATTGCAGGCATATTAGAGTGATGTAGATTCTTGCTCAGTTTTACTTCTTATTAGCTGTGGCCCTGGGAAAAGTACTAAACTTTCAAGCCTATAGTTTGCCGGTGCACAAAACGGGAACAGCAATAATGTCTTCATAATTCTTGCAAGGAGTGGAAGATATGGTATTGATATTTAAGTCACTTAGCCCCAAACTTGACAAATAGAGGTTCTAGATAAATCAGTATAATTACTTAAGAAAATCAGACACTTTCAAATATTTTTAAGTAATAGGTGCAAATCATAAGGGCTTCCCTCGTGGCTTAGTGGTAAAGAAACTGACTGCCAATTTCAAGAAATTCAAATTCTATCCCTGGGACAGGAAATCCCCTGGAGGAGGAAATGACAACTCGCTCCAGTATTTTTGCCGGGAGAATCCTATGGGCCGAGCAGTCTGGTGGGCTACAGCACGTGATACACTGGATTTCTGAGGATCTTTACAGGAAATATTTTTTTAGTCCAATTTGATATAAAAATATGTTTAGAAAAGGTACAGTTGCATGAGGAAGACACACTAGAGTAAAGGTTTCTCTTAGATTTTCTCATTGAAAGCTCACTACGATCCTTTAAGATATGGTTCGTGTTCTCATTTTACAGAAAAATGCAATGAAGGCCCAGAGAGGTAAGCAACATTCCCAAGGTCACTCATCAGACAAGGAGCAGGGCTGGGATTTGAACCTAGGGTGTTCTAGTTTCAAAGTCTGCTCTCTCAACCCCTCATCCCTCATAGCCTCTTTTAATGAGTCTTTGACAAAAATTGATAGGCAGTACTTTCAAACAAAGGCACTTCAGGATTTATTGAGATATAAGTTTGACTTTATTTGCAGAATTGTCTTCCTTCTTAATACACGTAAATCCATGGCTGATTCATGTCAATGTATGACAAAAACCACTACAATATTGTAAAGTAATTAGCCTCCAACTAATAAAAATAAAAGGAAAAAAAATTAAAAAATAAAATAAAATAAAATATATCTAAATGCAAAAAAAAAAAAGACTATGTCTGTCTGTCTATCTCCCTTTTAGAGCTGAAATGTTATTTCATCACTAAATAAAATACACTAATAAAAAGTAAGGAGAGGAATTGAACATATTTAATGGGAAGACTTTTGAAAGATGATTCATATTTGATAGATCTTTATGTTATTCCATCGCAAAATAAACATATTGTTAAAAACATAAAGAGACAGACCACACAGAGTTAATAAACAATTTTTAAATGATGGTCTGTGTTCAGAAGATGCACTTTAGGTCTCACTGCAAGATGCAAGCAGTGGCCCTGATGTGAAGGGCAGGGTTTGGAGGGTGCATTTCCTTCCTCTGCAGTCCGGCCTCCGTGCTAAAACCTACACTTCTCTGCCGTGTGCGCCCATTCCCAGACCCTTGGGCAGCCTTGGACCCAGCTCAAACCTTGTGCTCCGTGACAACCTAGAGGGCTAGGGTGGGGTGGGAAGTGGGAGGGAGGTTCAAGAGGAAGGGGACATATGTATACCTATGGCTGATTCATGTTGATGTATGGCAGAAACCATCATAACATTGTAAAGCAAATATCCTTCAGTTAAAAAAAAAAAATTGTTTTTTAGAATACTTTCTGCCTTAGGGCTGCATGAGAGCATTTGTCATAGTGCTTTCACTATTACTTTTGCTTTCACTAAGTTTTCTGACTTAAGAAGCTTTCCTTTGCTTGATCTTCCTGCCTTTCACCTCCCCAAAGTGACTTTTTATTAATAGCTGTGCACTCCTGATTGCTTTTGCCCTTTTGATGCAGTTCTTTGATCCTCCAAGTCTAAAACACAAAGTCACCTCTTAACGGTGGCATTCTTGAACCAGGGGATGCGCTCCTCCTGACATTTCCTCTACATCCCACTCTCAACACACTTGCTCTTCCCCGCGCAGGCCTCTCACTCCTTCCAGGTGGCATGGCCGCCTACTTACTGGTTGTGGTGGCTTAGTCTCTAAGCTGTGTCTAATTCTTCGCGACCCCGTGGACGGCAGCCCGCCAGGCTCCTCTGTCCATGGCACTTTCCAGGCAAGAGTACTGGAGTGTCTTGCCATTTCCATCTCCAGGGGATCCTCCCCACTCAGGGGTTGAACCTGGGTCTCCTGCATTGCTGGCAGATTCTTCACCAAGTGAATCACCAGGGAGGTGCTCTTATCAAACTGTCTCCTTTTAATGTTGTCCTGAGTGTGAGGGAATGACTGAGAATTTCCTCAGGGAAATGAGCAGGGAATTCCCTGCTCCTTTGATCCCTACCAGAGATTGGCCTGCCAAAGTACATCCCACCTCGGGCCTTGCAGGGGCTCGACTGTCCAGAAAACCTTCATTGGAACCTCCTTCTCTCTCCTCATCAGGGAGGGGATTGAAGAGTCTACAGGAAAGCAAATGTTATGATGTAGTAACCTCAGCTTCTCCTTCTCCCCTTCCCTCTTCTACCTGGGAAAGATAGGTTTCCAGCTGTTTCCCACCAAGAGAAGACAGAAGAGCATAAGAGAAAGCCTGTGAAGTTTGACAGTAACACTGGGACATGGAATAAGACCCCACCTTTCATGCCCAAGGCTCTGTAGGTCTAAAGGTCCCTTGAGAAGCAGGAATGGGGGTATGCCAAGATATTCCTTGTTGAGAATGCCAAGGTCAGCCTGGGGAAGACCACCAGCAAATGAAGAGACACAATGAGGGGTGCAACCCACACCACTGGTGGGGGCTCAGGGGAGACCCAGCGACCCTTCCCACAGAGTCCCAACTCTTTTAAGGAAGGAGCTGCCTAGGGTGTGGAAGCTCACCATCAACAGGAAACCTGGGGGCAGCCTTGGGTTCAGCACTCAGAGGGTGAGGGGAGGAGGAAGGAGGGGGACAGGGAAAGAGAGAGAGGAGAGGGAAGGGAAGGGAGCCGGCTGCACCGCTGTAGGGAAGGTACAACGGTGTAGAGGGGAGGCGTTCAAACTGTCATGAGAGTTAAGAATTTAATAACCAGATTAGACAAGGGTCACTGAACTGGAGTCAATTCTCCGATGGGACTCAAATTCCATTATTGGGTAAGATTAAGTTCTCTCTCCCTCATCCCCCTCCACTGAGTGGAAATGGGGTTCAGAGTTATTAGAAGAGATAAAACCATTCTGTTTGCACCTCACTGAGCTGAGACTCCTCCATCATACCAGCCACACATAAAATCCCAGAGTCTCGGAGCTACTGGGCTCTTAGGCACAGAGATTCTTTTTTTCTTCGCCTGCTCCTCTCCCTGGCACCTGCTCCTCTGTCTCTACAGACTGGAGAAGATGAAAACTGAAAAAGACCAGGGAGGTTTCTTAACTTCAGTTCAGCATACAAATTAATCACTTTAATTTTTCACACAACCAACCTTTCTTTCCAGTGTTTCTGCAGTTAAGAGGATGCTATCTTAATGAGAAAATTCCTAACAATAAAGCAACCTATGTTTGGAAACTAACATCTTGTGGAATGAGGCTGACACATGGCTTACATAAACGATTTGGTAGCCTGATTCGTTATTCACTTAGAAAGTGTGACACACAGCTACTGAGCAGGGGGCCAACTGGTTGAGAAGCCACATTTGAACTTTACCTTGAGAGGCAGCCCTGTGCGTTCACTCAAAGTCAGGCTTTTTACTGATAACCAAGGTTAATGTAGATTGATAGGGGTGTGTATTAATATTTGCTTTTATCCAGCAGGATATTATATACCTGCATCATTTCTGTTTCAAATTCCTAAAATCAGCAATGGCTTACTTTTTCAAAGTTGTACACCTCAATGCTCCCCTCTTCAAGGTGACTTCTTTCCTAAAAGATTCCTCTTTAGGCTTTTTGCAAATGATCAGTGTTCCTGACCAAGCACAGACATGTTCAGATTCTCCAGACACATGCTTTTCAGAGTGTTAAGCTGTGTGTGTGTGTGTGTGTGTGAGAGAGAGAGAGACAGAGAGAAAGAAAGAGAGAAGGAGGAAGGGAAGGTGAGGGAGAGGGGAGAGAGAGAGAAAGACTATATACACTCACTGGCTCATAACTTATCCCCAAAGAAAAAATCTGAATGGGAAAGGATCACAGAGTACAAACATAAACAGTTTAAAATTGCTTCTAAAGTGACTATGTGGAGAAGGAAATGGCAATTCCAGTATCCTTGCCTAGAGAGTCCGATGGACAGAGCGGCCTGGCAGGCTCCAGTCCACGGGGTCGCAAGAGTCGGACATGACTTAGTGACTAAACCAACCAGCCAACCAAAGTGACTTTGATGGGTCCTTTCCTAATAAAGTTTTAGAAGGTTGTTATTTTGTTCTAGAATACAGCCTGTCTCTCTTTGGATCTCATAACTTTTATTTTTGTTAAAACTGAGGTGTACATAGCAGTATTTTTATACTTTAGTCATTTGAAGTGGTGGAAGGAGAATCTCATTAAGCCATATTAAGACAGAATAAGAAAGTAAAGGACAAGAAGTGAGAAAGAAAAGGAAAGGATTTTTTCTCAAAATAACTGGACAAGCGCTGGACTGGAAACAGAAGGAAGAGGGTGGAAGGAGTGTGTGTGTGTGTGTGTGTGTGTATGGCCTAAGGTGGAATAAACCAAGTTATGGAGAAGAAAGGCAGTGAAAAATACTAGTGAGAGTTAAAGAATGTTCCTTTGCCTGAAAAGGAAAAATCAAGAAACAAAGTGATGACAATCAAATAATTCTCTACATTATCCATCGATGGTGCTGTGTGCTCAAAACAGCTTTGTTGCTACTTACAACTGGGAAGAAATACTGTGTAATATATAAATATAAATGTGAATAAATGTGTGATTCTTATACCCATGAACTCCAGAATAGTTTAGAGATTAATAGAGTAAGAACTGTAAAAACACAAAAATTTTAACATAAACTTTAAAATAACTTACATTTTCACCTTTGATTCCAAGGGCTGTAGATTGACGTGACACTTTTGAATGTTATTCTCCACATCCATGGCCAGTTGGTGACTACAAACAGAAATAATGCCTCAATATAGATGAATCCATAAAGCTGTCATTTACATCAATAAAAGTGCCAATTTAAATTTAATTGACAAAGCAAGTACATACGCACTTTTGTTCATTTTATTAATACAGTCTTAAAAGTTCTTATTGATGGATAGTAGATAAATAACCATACCATAGAAAGAAAATGTGGTGTTGCCTTTTAACATTGCTTTTCTTTTTATTTCTACCACTTAGCTCAACATTCATATCTAAGGCATGTAAATCATTCACTTTACTCAAAGACTAAGGCAGAATATTAAACTGTTTCAGAGGAATAAAACCCATGAGTGGAGTGTTACAAATCCCATGGTACTGTCCAACTAGCAAGTTGTAGAGAGAGTCTCATTCATTCCCAATGGTGTCACTACCACTGAACCTGTTCTCCTTTCATTCTGTGAGCTTTTTCAGAGCTCCCACTGTGAGCAAAGCATCAGTCTGCCCTGGATAAAGATGGAGGAACTGTGAATATATGCCATTGCTCCTATGAGCCTAAGACAATCATTGGGTGCTACAATGGTCAAGGAAGATTATAGCAGCTGTGCTGGGCCTTGAAGAATAGACAGGAAGTAGTAAGTTAACATGTAAAGGATGAAAGTGAAGGAGGGGAGTGAAAAAGTTGGCTTAAAGCTCAACATTCAGAAAATTAAGATCATGGCATCTGGTCCCATCACTTCATGGCAAATAGATGGGGAAACAGTGGAAACAGTGTCAGACTTTATTTTGGGGGGCTCCAAAATCACTGCAGATTGTGATTGCAGCCATGAAATTAAAAGACGTTTACTCCTTGGAAGGAAAGTTTTATGACCAACCTAGATAGCATATTTAAAAGCAGAAATAATACTTTGCCAACAAAGGTCCGTCTAGTCAAGGTTATGGTTTTTCCAGTGGTCATGTATGGATGTGAGAGTTGGACGGTGAAGAAAGCTGAGGGCCAAAGAATTGATGCTTTTGAACTGTGGTGTTGGAGAAGACTCTTGAGAGTCCCTTGGACTGCAAGGAGATCCAACCAGTCCATCCTAAAGGAGATCAGTCCTGGGTGTTCATTGGAAGGACTGATGTTGAAGCTGAAACTCCAATACTTTGGCCACCTCATGCGAAGAGTTGCCTCATTAGAAAAAGACCCTAATGCTGGGAAGGATTGGGGGCAGGAGGAGAAGGGGATGACAGAAGATGAGATGGCTGGATGGCATCACTGACTCGATGGACATGGGTTTGGGTAGACTCCGGGAGTTTGTGATGGACAGGGAGGCCTGGCATGCTGTGATTCAGGGGCCACAAAGAGTCGGACACAACTGAGTAACTGAACTGAACTGAAAGGTAATACCTATGAGGGAGATCCTAAAAGATGATGCTGTTAAAGTGTTGCACTCAATATGCCAGCAAATTTTTGGAAAACTAGCAGTGGCCACAGGACTGGAAAAGGTCAGTTTTCATTCCAATCCCAAAGAAAGGCAACGCCAAGGAATGCTCAAACTACCGCACAATTGCACTCATTTCACATGCTAGCAAAGTAATGCTGAAAATTCTCCAAGCGAGGCTTCAACAGTACGTGAATGGAGAACATCCAAATGTTCAAGTTGCATTTAGGAAAAGCAGAGGAGCAAGAGATCAAATTGCCAACATTCACCGGGTCATAGAAAAGGCAAGAGAATTTTAAAAAAACATCCACTTTTGCTTCATTGAGCACGCTAAAGCCTTCACTGTGTGGATCATAACAAACTGGAAAATGCTCCAAGAGAGGGGAAGACCAGACCACCTGCTCTGCCTCCTGAGAAACCTGCAAGCAGGTCAAGGAGCAGCTGTTAGAAGCGGGCGTGGAACAGCGGACTGTGTCCAGATCGGGAAAGGGGCACGTCGAGGCTGTGTATTGTCACCCTGCTTGTTTACCTTATGCGCAGAGTGCATCATGCAAAATGCCAGGCTGGGTAAAACACACACTGGAATCAAGATTGCTGGGAGAAACATCAACAACCTCAGACACACAGATGATACCACCCTTATGGCAGAAAGTGAAGAGGAACGAAAGAACCTCTCAATGAAAGTGAAAGAGAATGAAAAAGCTGGCCTAAAACCCAACATTCAAAAAACTAAGATCATGGCATCTGGTCCCATCCCTTCATGGCAGATAGATGAGGAAACAATGGAAACAGTGACAGACGTTATTTTCTTGGGTTCCAAAATCACTGCAGATGGTGGCTGCAGCCATGAAATTAAAAGATGTTAGCTCCTTAGAATAAAAGCTATGACAAACCTAGACAGCATATTAAAAAGCAGAGACATTACTTTACTGATGAAGTTTGTATAGTCAAAGCTATGGTTTTTTCCAGTAGTCATGTATGGATGTGAGAGTTAGACCATAAAGAAATTTGAGTGCCAAAGAATTGATGCTTTTGAACTATGGCGTTGGAGAAGACTCTTGAGAGTCCCTTGGACTGCAAAGAGATCCAGCCAGTCAATCTTAAAGGAAATCAATCCTGAATATTCATTGGAAGGACTGATGCTAAAGTTGAAGCTCCATACTTTGGCCACCTGATGCGAAGAACTGACTTATTGGAAAAGACACTGATGCTGGGAAAGATTGGAGGCAGGAGGAGAAGGGGATGACAGAGAATGAGATGGTTGGGTAGTATCACCGACTCAATAGACATGCGTTTGAGCAAGCACTGGGAATTGGTGAAGAACAGGGAATCCTGGCATGCTGCAGTCAATGGGGTCACAAATACTCAGACATGACTGAGCAACTGAACTGAACTGATAAGGAAGATATTAAAATAAAGGAGTAAAATCCAAAGAAAACAAAAACACTAATTTAAATAGATACTGCTGCACACACCCCAATGTTCATGACAGCATTGTTTACAATAGCCAAGATAGAGAAGCAACCTGAGTGTCCACCAATAGATGAATGGATAAAGATGTGGCATGTGCATACAATGAAGTACTGTCCTGCTATGAAAAGAATGACATTTTGCCCTTTGCAACAACATGATGGACCTGGAGGCTTAGTGAATAAGTCAGACAAAGACATACTGTATGTTATCACTTAGATGCTGAATCTAAATGAATGAAATAAATGGATAAAATAAAGCAGAAGCAGAGGATTACAAGGTTCAAGCTACTCTTAATACGTATGAAGTAAATAAGCTACAAGAATATATTGTACAGTACAAGGAATATAGACAATATTTTATAATAACTTTAAATGTAGTGTAATCTATAGAATGTAAATCATTATGTTGCACACCTGAAATTAATATAATATTGTGAATCAAATAAGTTATCAATTAAAAAATTAGGTCATTGATTCCAGAAATGCAACCCAGGCAGGCCCAGGCAGGACTAAACCCCAGTGAGGTCCTGTTCTGAAGGTGTGAGAAAAGGGAGAGGAGGGCAGGAAGCTATTTACCTGGCCTGCCCACTCAGGTAAGGGAATCTGGGAGGCAGCTATTGGTTGGGTCCAGTTAGATCCAGTATCTTTCTACACCACCTAAAGGATCTTGTTCACCTGTGACTTTATTGGGACAGCAAAATGATTCATTGAAAGTGACTGTACCGACATTATTGCCATCTGATGGCAATTTATTTCCATGACTGTGAGCATCAAACTAAACAAATGAATGTATTCTTTTATCAAAATGATGATTTGAAGTGCCATTGTTAAATTATTATAAAAGTGACCTATGTTCTTTGGAAAAACAGAGTAGAAGTAAAACGTTCAGGCTATTTTTGAACAATAGAGAAAAATATTGTGGAAGGGGACAAGTAGGAATATAAAAGGAAATAAGTTTGTATGAGCAGAAAACTAAGAGTTATTGGCCACGCAATGTGTACAAAACACTGTCATGACATTTTGCATGTATTACCTCATTTCGTTTTCCCAGTGGCCTCTATTAGTCAAGCATTATTTTCCATAGCATAGAGCTGAGAAATCTGAAGCTCAGAGAGGTTATGTGCAACTCAGCAGAAATCACATTAAAACCCAAGTCTCGCCACTACAAGGCGTTTGGAAGATTTTAATACCAGACTTTCACTAACCTTCTACTGCCTGTGGTTACCATAAAATATTTGACACCTAACCATGTGGCAATGCGTGTGTGTGTGTATGTGTCTGTGTGTTTAAAACTGAAACAAAAGTTTCAGGAACTATGAATTTTCCAACTACATACAATGTACTCTGATATTTTAAAAGTATATTTCATATTTTTTAAAAGGTCAGTGGTGACCCAACCAATCAGTTTAACAAATCATCAGTGGATTGTGATCTACAGTTTGAAAAAGGTTGCTACAGGGAAACAAAGAACTTGAAGCAGGAAAATGAGTTTGAATGGGATGTTTTAGGATGGCTTGTGGTGGGAGTGAGAAAGGAGAATGAAGGCAATCATTTAGTTGGGTATTCAAATTGGCCAGATAATGAAGACCAGGATTATAGTTACAGGAAAGAAGAGAAAAGGATAAGAAAAAAATTGGGGCTAGAGACATCATTAGAATAACAAATGTATTTTCTCCTCCTGAGAAAGGAATAACCAAGTGATGGGGAAAACATGGTAGATTAGATATGGCCACTATTTGGTGCCAACAGCCTAACATAGTGTTGTGGTTGATCAAGTGGGATGCTCAGGGCAAGGGAAAAAACACCCTTGTCTGGTCTGAGCCACTGGTATTCAGGGTCCATTATTAACTTTATTCCCTCATTTTCAACTATAGTAAATGTCTCCTATGTGCCAGGAATGATGCAAAACATGGGGGAAACAATGATGAAAATATTAGACATGGTTACTGTTCTTACGGTCCTACAGTTTAGGAGATGTATACTGAAAAAGCAACTAAAAATGTGACAGATGTTATTAAAGGGCACCATAGAGACCTAAGCCAGTGGTGATAGGCATGAAAAGTCTTATTTTTATAATTCTATGGTCTGGTGGGTCTTTTTACAACAACCTTGTAAATAGGATACTTTGAAATATTGTATTATTACAATAAGAAATTAACAATTTGGGCAATACAGATATACATGAAGTGCTGTGGGACCTGTTGCTATATGCATCAACCAAAGACAAGGCTCAAGTCCATAATGAGAACATTTTTATAATATTAGCAAATTTGTCAATGTTTGTAAATTTGCTAATTTATACATCCTCAGGAAGTGATACACTACAAATACCAATAGGTTTAAATTAGATAACTTTAGTTCATTCTATCAATAATTGCCAGTGGGTAATAAAGTGATTGGGGATTCCCAGGTAGCTCAGCTGGTAAAGAATCTGCCTGCAATGCAGGATACCCTGGTTCGATTTTTGGGTCAGGAAGTTCCCCTGGAGAAGGGATAGGCTAGCCACTCCAGCTTTCTTGGACTTTACTGCTGGCTCAGACAGTAAGGAATCTGCCTGCAATGTGGGAGACCTGGGTTTAATCCTTGCTTTGGGAAGATCCCCTGGAGGAGGGCATGGCAATCCACTCCAGTACTCTTGCCTGGAGAATCTCATGGACAGAGGAGCCTGGCGGGCTACAGTCTATGGATGGAGTCACAAAGAGCCAGACACGACTGAGTGACTATGCACAGCACAGTAAAATGATTATATTAATATGTCAGAAGACTGTGTGACTTGCAATCATGAATTTCCTACTCTCACACCCAGCCTGGCTCAATATTTACAAAAAATAGTACTCAACCTAAGGTCTTAAGTTAATAAATGATTCTCAAAAACTACAGAGTCACAAGCAGCCTCCCTCCTGATTAATGGCCTTATTAATTGCTCTTCTCTGTTTGTGGACATAAGCCAAACTTCACTGAGAGAAAGACAGAGAGAAAAATGTACCCAAAGCTCCTGCGTGTGGTCTCAAGTAGAATAGAGCTGCAGCCTCCCCTCTCTTCCTACCAACTGTCTACCACAAAACCCTGTTGAGCATTCAGAATAAATGTAATGTTCCAAGGGGGAATAACTGATCAACTGCCATGACACCACTATCGCTTAACTTATGGTCATTTCAAGTAGCTGAGATGACTTACATCAGCACCCAAGTCAGCTACAGCTATAATGAAATGCCTAATCTGCTCACTCAAAGTACCCCAATTTCTCAATCAAATTTGACAGCTTTCAAGGACACTGTGTAGCCCTGAAGTGGACCAGAATTCCAGGCAGATGGATAGAGCGGTTAGGACCAGCATGAAAGAGAAGCTGGCCCCGCAGGTCTGTGTGTTTTGAGAGAAGACTCTGAATCCCGTCCCTCGAATTCCTCAATCATGACTGGGGAATACAAGCGTACAAAGCAGATTGGCCATATCCAGATGCTTTTAGCTTTCTCAGCTTTCTAGATAATTCGAGAGAAAAGCAGAGGGAGGGCAAGGAGGCAGAAGGCCACACACTGACCACTAGCCTTCGCGTATCTTCCTGAGAGCACAGAGTTGGGAAAGATACATGCTGGTGTTAGTGAGGGGTTTAATACAGAGTTGTGATCAATTAGTAGGAAAAAACTTCTAGAGTTCACTTCCCACATTAAAATCAATAATGAAAAAACAGCATAGTTAGATTTAAAAAGTAAACGAGCTGAGCTGAACATCACAGAGAAAGTGTGTCCTCAGAGAATTAAGCTAAATGAGATTATTGAATAACTAAAAAATAATCTAAAATATATGTAGACCACTGGTTCTCAACTCCAGATCCTCATTAGTATCACAAAAAGGAAGCTTTCAAGAAATACTGATTCTTGGACCTCAGCCCCAGGAATTCATATTTGACTTGTCTGGGGTGGTATTTTTATTAAACTCCCTGGTGATTCAAAGGGTAGCCAGGATGAAGAATCACTGATGTAATGTCATTATAATACTAATTAATCTCCATAGCAGAAAAATCTTCATTTTAGTTTCAGCCAAAAAGTCTTCAGTTATTATTGTTTACAAATAATTAGTGATGATGGTGATGAGGGAGAAGAGGGAAATCAAACTATTTTATTCTTATTTATCCAGGTTAATGATAACCAGCATAACAAAGATAAATCAAATTCATAGATCAGTCAGCATCTTCATTGGATCGAATGAACTGTTCTTCAAGTGGTACCATGGAGAATTCTTAGAATTGCCATGGGAAGGCGATGAACCTGAAGGCTGGTGAATTCAGACAGCCCCCAGATGGGTGGGGAAGGAGCTGATTCTGATGGCAACATGCTGTCATAGGTGCCACATTTCACATGCTCAATAAGACTGTCAAGCCAGCATCCTTAGCTTCATTTTTAAAGATGGGGAAATGGGCTCAGGATGATTAAGTAATTTGTGCAGACTCATAAGGCCAGGAAAAAGCAGAAAGAGGACTCAAATCCAGGTTTTCCAATGGGCAGAAATGTTTTCCACAGCATCTCAGATGGCCATGTACACTCTTCTTAGGCACTCCCAGTGTCTATCACCTCACTGCTTAACAAAATAAGTGCTCTCTGTTGAGCAGGCTGAATCTTTACTAAATTCACTCTTTTTTCTGCGTCACCCGCTATTTCTCCATCAATCCTGTTCATTTATCCTTGTTCTGCTTTCTAAAACAAGAAAAACAATGTAGTCCCCTTTTTATAGGAAAATTTCTTCAAATGTTTAAGGATAGGTATATGTCCCCTCCAAGATCTCTCTTCTTCAAGCTACACATCCTCAGCTCTTTGCAGTAGTTTTACATGGTCGCAGAACCCTCACAGTTTTAACCTTTTGATGCTCTTGGGGATGTCAATGTGCTTTGTAAGTGTGGTACCCAGAGACAAATGTGGTGAACCCCCAAATGGACCTGACCACAGGACTCCCTTTGAAGACAAAAGGGGAATGGAACAGCAGAGGATGAGACAGTTAGATATCAATAGCATCACCGACCCAACAGACATGAATTTGAGCAAAATCCAGGACATAGTGGAGGACAGAGGAGCCTGGTGTGCTATGGTCCATGAGTCCATGAGGTTGCAAAGAGTCAGACACGATGTAGAGACTGAACGAGAACAATGACATGGGACTTACTGGTTACCAGCGTGGGCTCTGGTGGCACTGAACCTGACTTTCATTCTCATCCTTACCACTCTCAGCTGACTGTACTTCGACAAGTGCTGAAAGTTCTCTGGGTCTCTTTTCTTATGGGTAAAATGGAAGTCATAATATCTATATTAAAAGGCCATCATCAGAGTTTGCTGAGGAAACATCCGTAAGCATCCATTGGTACAAAGTACATTGTAAATGCTCAATCCATGATAGCTCATTTTTTTCTTCTTTTATCTTGACAGTGTATACCTACTACTCAGACTAATATTATGGTGATATTTTTAGAAGCCATATAAAATCATGGTCTTAAGTTAATGTCAGATAAAACCTCGAAGCATTCACTGACACTGAAATCAGAATATGTCTTTCATAAGCTCTAATTGTGCAATTTTCTTTAAAATCTAAATAAAAGACGGTATTTTAATCCCTATTCAATTTCCTCTCTTTCATTCTTGCTTTTAATTCCAGCTCAGGTTTGTGCCACTCCGCAGTATTACTTTGAATGGTCATTCTATTAGTCTTGGTGTTACTCTTGTGTTTTTAGAAATTTTATGACCTCCTTCTCTACACATCCCTGATTAAAGGCCAAAGACGGAGTAGTGCTAAGTTTCAAGCCCTCAGACATACCATCAGATACATCTCCAGGTATCACATCACAGTTAATCAGTAGTCTGGGTACTGTAGCTCAAGTAGCTATAAGTCTGTTTGACTATATCTCAAATGAGCCACATTTCTTGGTACTGATCAAATAATATCCTAAGGTGAATTTACTTAATTATTTTTGCCTTGTGAATGTGAGCCTTCCAACTTTAATTTCCTTTAGTATTTTTACTTACTTTTCAAGTAAATACTTTCCATCATTAACTTGTTTCAAGGGATTCTGCAATCTTTTCAATTCTTCCTGTGAAAAAGAAAAAAAAAAAGTCTTACAAGTTGACTCCATGAATTTATGGGTGATATTTCAGGAAAATTGTTACCAACATTGAGATAATCACTGTTACAAGTTCTGGACTTTGCAATGGATGAGTGTTTCACATACAATTTTATCCTGGATCAAATTAAAATACAGCTCTTCCACTTATATTGTATGATTTTTTTTTTTACCACTAAAGATAATACCTCCTGTTATTTTTCCAGAGAGGCAATATGCTTATACAGATCCACCCACACACCTCCCAGATTTACTCTTATTAACAGGTTTATGTTTGCTGGTTGCTGGGCGAGGGGCTGTAGGAAGGTGGACTGGATTTGACCATTTAGCAAACACTGTCTCTTGTCTCTTCGTAGCTCTTGGTTACCTCAGCCCCAGTGCTCACACACACACACACACACGCACGCACACATTTTCCCTGAATTTCCGGCATCCAGTCTCAGTAATCCCATTCCCTCAGTCACAGCGATTGCTTCAGGGATGTGACAGAAGTCAGCCCCGGTTCCTGGTGAGACGGCCTGTCTCCAGACTTATTGTCAGTCAGAGCAGGATTTAAGGAAGGCCCACAGAGAGCTACAGTCCATACGGTCACAAAGAGCCAGACATGGCTGAAGAGACTTAGCATGCAGGCATGCCCAGAGGTCTGGACCTGGGAAGGCCACGACTCCTTGAGATCAACCTGCTTGTCTCATCACCACAGATGGCTGAAATGCCAAGAGGAAGCTCCAATCGGCACTAACTACTCATTCACCTCGGAAAGACCATCAAGACTAGTCCCAACATGTTTCCAACCCATCAGCCATCCGAGTCTCCTCAGTTACCCATTTTCTTTAACTTCTTACTCTACTGTACAATCCCAAATTTGACCCAGTCACTCACCTCTCCCCAGTCCCTCCAGTCTTTCCACTGAACCCTTTGCAACTCGCAGTCCATCATCATTAAAACCCTCTGTCTCCTCAGTTTCTTTGAACATTCCCTTAATTATCTCATTCTAACTGAACCTGCTAGAATGCTGTTCTGGGGACAGCTACGTCTTTGCTGGAGCTAGAAGATCAAAGAACAGTTTCAAAAAGAGTTTTAGGATATAAAGGAGTCTGCTGACGACAAACCTGGCTGGTCCCCGAGCACTCTGTCTCCCCTGCAGTCCTCTGCAGTGGTGGCCATTTCCTCCCCATGTGCTACATAAAATACACTCTGGAGGAGGGATGGGGCCATTTTTGCTCCTCCCTGCTGTTGTCAGATCCTCTTCATCCTGTAAAACCTCACTCTTCTAGAAACACACGGGCAGCCTGTCCAAGGGCTCTGGTCCTTCTCATCTATCTTCTCTCCCCAGGAGGTCTTATCCAGTCCACAGCTTTAAGTTTATACTTTCACCTGACCGCTCCTCTAAACACCATTCTGACACAGCCACCTGACTTCTTGGGAGTTCTGTGTGCCTGGCTGACAGGCACCTCAAGTTCAAACCAAAGTCTTGATTTCACTGCCTAGACCCTCCCACCCAAACCTCCTGCTTCACCACTTCCTCCTCATTTTAACAAATGACATCAATATTCACCTAGACATGCAGTGATATGACCCCTAAAACCTAGAAGTCAGCCTCTACTCCTTCCTTCCTCTCTCAGTCCACAACCATCAGCTATTTACATTGGTCCCAAGTTCAAAATAAATCCAGAAATTGACCACTACTCCTCAGTCTGGTCCAAGGCAACTGTGAGAGTCTCCTATCTCCCTGCTTCCCAAGTTAGCCCACTTCAATCCCTTCTCCTTCTATCAACCAGCACAATCATTGAATATTTGGGTTTGCTTTTTTAAGTGACTGAAAAGCACACATCATAAGTGTCCAGTACAACAAGGTTTGACAAATGCATATGTTGGTAGAATTAACACTCCAGATGAAATACAGAACATTTACTTCACTCCTGAAGCTTTCTTTGTGTCCCTATTCAATCAATTCCCCTCTCCCAAAGGCACTCCTGTTCTGATTTTTATCGCCATAGATCAATTTTTTAATTAATTTTTATTGGAGCATAGGTGCTCACCATAGATTAATTTTGCCTGTACTAGAATTTCACATATATTTGTCTATTCTTTTGTATCTGGCTTAATTCCCTCAGCATCATATTGATACATAGGCAGCTGTATATGGTAAATGGCTATGAAGATAGAGATGACTGAAGCGTAGACAGAGACACAGCATCCTTTTCACTTTTACACATTTTATTTTCAAGGTAAAACTTACCCTTCAACCCTATAGACTCTGGTTTCTAGACTCTGGTTCCTAGGAGTAAGCCTCCACCTCTACACTCTCACTGCCAGTCACTCAGTTGTATCCGACTCATCAGGACCCCATGGACTGCAGGCTGACAGACTCCTCTGTCCACAAAATTGTCCAGACAAGAATAATGGAGTGGGTTGCCATTTCCTACTCCGGGGGATCTTCCCGATTCAGGGATCGAAGCCATGTCTCCTGCAGCTCCTGCATTGGCAGGCAGATTCTTTATCCCTAGCACCACCTGGGAAGCCTGCTCTATTCTCTATTTTTCTCCCAACCCTCCATTCCTCCCAACTAATCCTTCAGCATATCCCACCCCACCTCCAGCGACCAGAGCAATAAATCCAGGTCATAGAAAAGGTCAGGCTTAAAGCCACTTTCATACAGAGAGGAAATAGGTTGGATAAGGATCCTTAGTTCTTGAAAACCAGAGGTGGCTTTTCAGGTCACGAACTTTTCCTTGTTTCCCACCTGTTTTAGGATTAGGAAGGAGATTGAGTTGTGGTGGTCCTGGCACTTTCTTCTCTTGCATGTGCCTGTGGGTTTCTTTTCTTTTTCCCTGGGCATCTGTGGGGCAGGAAGGAACAGGTTTCTGCACTTGGGGCCAGCCATTCTCTTTCCTTTGGGTCTTTTTCATTGCAGGGAGCTTTGGGGAGGGAGAAGGAGAGCTTTGGTGTAGCACTTATTCAATCTGACTATCCACGTTCTAGGAAATCTTATTAAACATAAGGTCAATGACTAACAAGAGCTTTCCGAACAGCTGCTCTGCTGACAATTTGGAGGATTGATTTCATCATTTGGTTATTTAAGCTAACTATACAAAAACACTTCAGTTCAATTGGCCTGCAAGTTCCACACCGTATCCTCGTTTTCTGGGAGATGGACAAAGAAACTGACTTATTCCATGGATCTTTGCTTGGAGTTTCACTCTGACACAGTTTTCCATCAATTTACCATTAAAAATATATACATGTTGGTCTTTCCCACCCCTGGTTTCTCTCACTAGTCTTCATTGCCTCAGTTTCACCTTCAAGCATGTCATTTCCTACTAGAAACCAGCATGGCTCCCAGGCGCTTTCAGATGAATTCCAGGATCTCAGCCAGAGATTGTTTGTCTTATCAGGGAGGGCCTTGACTCATGCCCTTCCTCTCCAAGTCCAGTCGTATGAAACTTCACCCAACCCTGAAGTCACATGGTCTCTCACACTGGGGGACACTGGGGCCCCAACTCTTGCATTGGCCCTCTCTCATTCTTCCTTCAGGAAGCCCCCCCCCCTCCACTTTCCCCTCCTCCATAGTGCCTTCCCTAACTCAACAAGAGGATCTGGTACCTCACCCTGCCTCCTCAGCATCCTGTGGGGATGGTGATCCCTGGTTTAGCATTACCTGACCCACCCCACCACTGGGCTTTTCAAAATCAGGGGTGGTGATTTATTCACCTTGAGGTTCATACTCCCCAAATGATGCATTTAGGTTGTGCCTAATGAATATATGCTGAATAAATGAATTGAGCTGAATGAGATGGAAAGAAAACTTAGTGGCTTAACGTTCCCTCCAAATCTCAAGATGTTGTATGTCCTCCCGTGATTTTTCCCTGCCTCTCCACCTCTTTTGTTTGTTTGTTTTTTAATTGTTCTTTAGCTTTCTTTTTTATTTAACATCATACCTTTTCCAACTTTACTTGGGTATACCTGACATTACAAATTGTATATATTTAAGGTACATACTTGATATACGCATACTTTGTAAATAATCATCACAATGAAGCTAACTAACATATCTATCACTTCCTATCCCTGCCAATTTCTTTCTTTTTTTTTTTTTTTGGTGGTGGTGGTGGTGAGCACACCTAAGATCTGCCCTATTAGCACTTTTCAGATTTACACTGAAGTATTGTTAAGTACAGTATACTGCTATGTGTTAGATCTTCAGAGTCTACTTGTCTTGCATAACTGCACTTGGTACCTTGACCAGCATCTTCCCATTTACACACTCACTCATCATCTCCATTCTCTTCTATGCTCTTAGACTTTATCATGCAGGTCCCTTGGTTCTACGGCTTTGAATAGGGTTTGAGCAGTGGGAGGCACTGCCAGGAGACCAGAAGGGAACAGAAGAGAGCTGGAGTATTTCTTCTCTGTGCTTCCTTCTTTTATCACCTTAAGTACAGGCTCGAGTCACTGCAGGCCATAGCTCCTGTGGGGTGATGGTCTCTCTCACATGGTCATTCTTGTCACATTCCCATAACTGCTCCATTTTCTTGCCCCTCCAAAACATTTCTTTCCCTCTCTTCCCTCCTTCCCCTCCGTTCTTCTGGCCCTTCCAACTGTTGATAGCCCCAGATGCTTCACGATTCCCCGTGGTTCTCCCTACATCCTGCCCATATCTATAGTCACTCAATTCAACTCTTCAAATCACCCTTCTAAGCGAGCCATCTGCCTTCTCCCTGGACTCCGGCTCACATGTCTCAAGGATCCTAAAATTGCTTTGGTTTGCCCTATCCATGCAATTCCTTTCCTATTAATACAATCCAACAAATTCAATTAACATTAATTAATCACATTAATTAACATAAGAACATGTCTGTTTTATAGGTGATCCCTATTAGAGAAGTTATCCTAACTCAAGGGCCCAGCTCAATTTTATGACTCAGTTTGACTCACCAGATCAGGGGACAATTTCTACCATGCTCAACTTAATTTCTGTCTTTTTGACATTTGGGCTAAGCCCCTCAACAAAGCACAAGTTGAGCTATTCAAGTACAACCTGGACATAGAGCATTCCATATTCCTTAATATCATTTCTTCAAATGAAGTCTGTGTTATAAGTGGCTGTGAAATGTAGGCTGCCTTAAGGGGGAATAATTGACTGACTACTTGCCAAACAAAGCCCATGCTTCCTGTCGTCATCAGAGTCCTTCTGAAGTCACTTTGGTGTGAAATGCTAGACTGGATGATGGGTTCTAGATTTTGTCCTTTTGTGTCTGGCTTCCCCCTCCCACCTTAATCCTGTAGGTTTTCTCCTGTCACAATCAGGAGAATACAGCTAAGAGGTTAGACAAATGCATCTCTGTGGCCACTTGGTCAGCCCCTTAACCTGACCAATAATAAAACACTCTACTTGTTTTTTTTCTGTCTCTGCCACTCTTACTGTCTAAACAAGCAGGGAATGTTCTTTGGACAAGTTTAAAATCAGAAATTCTCTCAAAATTGCTTTCTCTCTAAAGTGCACTTGTGTCTAAGCGGCAACCTTTTAACTTTTCTGAATTATGCCTTTGCCGTTTTATTCTCAGCATATCCCAGAGCATTTAAGGTAGCTTAAAACCCATAGCAACAACCTACAATTTACTTCATTGTGTAGCTATGGGTGACAAAACAGATACCACTTTCATACATCATTTTTGAGTTGGGAATAATTTCATATTAACCTAAGGGTAACTATTTAACAAAAGTTAAATGCCAGAATTACTTTTGACTATTCCATCATTCAATTAAACACCACCAGGCTTCCTCAGTCCCCTCCAACACCCTCCCATTGCCCTTTTTTTAATGGAAGTGTAATAAGGGCACTAAAAAAGAGGTTACTAATGTTTGCATAATTTGGAAAAGTAGAAGACATAAAATCTATACTAATTTTAGCTCTGCATCATTAAACATGAAATATTGATTATTGCTTTTTGCCACAGAATTTATGAAGCTAGTAGCTAGGCTGCTGTGTCCACATAAAGTGAGTCTGATGCTCTGCCCTCGGACCTCAGTGGCTGTAAATGATGCTCCTTGGTGACAGCTGGGAGGCTGGCATTCTGATCCACAGCCTTAAGAGATACATTTCCCAGATTAGACCAGGAATGACCCAGCTGCACAGCCCAACTTCAGAAAATTAAATTGGAGGGAGTCCAAACCTCTGTTGAAATAACTGTGTGAATTACAATGCTTCCATGGGTCTTGTTATAATGTAAATGTGCTTTACAATTTACTGCACTTCCCTCCTACCCCTGCTGTGAATATGAGCATTAATAGTCATCTCATATATTTAAAGGCAAAAAGGCATCAAAAATAAAAATGCAAGATTCATGTTTTCTCCCTTTGGAAAGCAGAGGCTAAACTCCTTTCTTTTTTTCTTTGGCTTTTTTTTTTTTTTTGCAAAAAGCACATACATTTTGTTTATGTATTATGCATTAATGTTTTTTATGGCTGACAGACCTGTAAATTTTACACAGGGAAGTTACCTGAATGTGAATTTCTTTGGGAGGAAAAAAATGGCTAATAGGACATCAACAGCTCATTTAAAAGATTCATTCAGGTAAGTTATGGGCACATGAGGCATATACGAGGTAGCAGACTTTGAAAGAGATTTGATTTGCCTATTTCTAGCACTTTAAGAACATTCTGAATGTCCAATGAGATGCATTAGGGGCTGTGGTTTTATGGTGACAATCACTTAGTGAGGTGATCCTGGTTTCACTATGCAAAGTCTCAATAGCATGATTATTCCTCACCTCATACACAGTGAAACCTACAGACTTAAGACCATACAATATGATGCTAGGCATCGTTGTGATAGCTCATTCTTTAATCTTGTTTGACCAACCAGGCTCTCATCATAGGCATTAGGACATAAAAGCCTTCGACTGCCAATGCTGAGCATGCCAAACACCTGAGCTCATTTGAGCAGATGCCAAAGAGAAACATCTTAAGTAAAAATCCAGTTATAACTGTTTCAATCATTGGTCACCTTGAATCTGATATGATATCAGCTCCTAAGATTCTCCTGGAGTGATGGATGGGAGGGTACACCTATAACCAGATCACCCAAGTCAACTCTGTGCCCTAATCTGAATAAGCATCCACAACTCCATCCACTTTCACTATTCAGCGCCAGTGGATCCAGGATTGTCAGACAGGGTAGCCAGCCCAAAGCCATGTGGAAAAGCATCCTCTAGGCTTAAATGTCCCCCGTGTTCTTTTCCTAAGATTGTGCATGATGTTCTCAAGGACTTTTGCTAGTTTTTAGAATCACTGACATTCTAAAGTTACCATTAAGGAATGAAGCCCCAGCTCATTACAAAAAGTCTAACCACTTCGACTAAATCTAGGATATGACGAATTAAAACACCATTAGTAGTAGTCTTAAGTTGGTTATTCTACTCAGCCAATCTGGGCTTCCTGGATGGCTCAAGTGGTAAAGAATCTTCTGCTTTGCAATGCAGGAGACACAAGAGATGCAGGTTTGAATCCCCACTCGGGAAGATCCCCTGGAATAGGAAATGGAAACCCACTCTTGTATTCTTGCCTGGAAAATCTCATGGACAGAGGAGCCTGGAGGGCTACAGCCCATAGGGTTGCAAGAGTTGGACACAACTGACCTTGCACGTTCATGCTCACTCTACTCAAAGTTAATTCAGCTTAATTTCAGCAGGACAACCATGAAGACTCAACTGAGGCTGAAATACTAAGTTACAACCACCAGGGTGTAGATATTTTTGCATCTTACATATTTCTGCATTTTGCGGGGGGGAAAAAAAAATCTAGATACCATGATTCAAGCAGAAAATTCAAATACACATTAGCACACAAGTCGGCAAATAAACCCCTCTGAGAATGCAGACAGAATAGCAAAGGTGGATGAGTGAATCCAAACACACCAAGTCCGGATTTCTTGGGCCAAAGGACAAAAAGAAAGTGCAGGTAATCAGAACAACATGTGACTCCTGAAGCAAAGATTCTGGAATGCATTTCATTGTAGTGCAGCAAATGCTGTCCAGATTAGATTTTTGGCTTAGTCCAATCAGGAAATGAGTTTGGGTTTCGTAGGTACTCATCAAGTGATACCGTGGAAAAGTGCCTGCTGGGAAGAGCTCTCTAACATGCTTACAGCACCTCAGACCTGTTCACCCCTCCCTCCCTGTTCTCTCCACTCCCAAGGTATTCAGAACCATTTCTGACTCTCACCAGGAATGGGCTGCACTGGGCTGCCTAAACGCTTTTCTTTAGGTACATTTCTAATAATTTAACACTCCTGCTCATAAACCCTACTGTCAGCCTAAACAAAAATCATCTTCAGGATTAAAAATAACCATTAATTTCCTAACCCCAGCATCGCTCCTTCGATCCCTTCTGAAATCCTTTCAAGTTCATTGCAAATGCCATTTTGTATATTTTAATATTTCCTTCCACAGCAAATTGCATGTCATTTCTTTGAACTACTGTTATTACTACTAACATTTATTGAATTTTACTAGGTGCCATGCATTTTGCATAAATTATCTTTTGAAAATTATGACTTCAGCCCCATAAAAATAGCAAAAGATGTGATTATTATTCCCATTACCTGGATAAGAAAACAGACTCTGAGAGATTAAGTAACTCGACCAAGGTCTTACAGGAGAAATGGTGTGTCAACCCAAGCAGTCTGACTCCAGAATCTTTCCTTTTCACTCTTTCCCCATGAATGACCTGGACGGTGTGAGCAGCAGCAGTATCTCACCAGTGGCGCTTGCAAAGAGAAGTCATACAGATCTGCAAAGTACTCAGACTTCTTCCTTGAGCCAGGCATGTCATCTACCCACTGTGTGACCTTAGACAACTGACTCACACTTCTCACCTCACTTCCGTCATTTGTAAAATGATGACAACTTCTAGTACCAAGTGTTTTGTGAGGATCAACTAAAATGACATATTTTAAAGTGTTTTGTGTACACTAAAGTGCTGGCCACTCATAAAGACATTCCTTAAGTGCCTGTGTTCCCAAGGACAGCACTGACACCTCTCTCGTCATTCCTGAGGTGCCATCTCTCTCAGTCCTAGTTGTGAGTTCTTGGGCTGGGTGACCCCTGAGTCATCATCTTTAAAATGAGGACACAAATTGTACCAAATTCCAAGGATTGCTGTGAGGCGTGATGATTAAATATTCATGTAAGTCATTCAGCCTTGCACGAGGCACAGAGTAGGTGCTCAGTGTGTTTGTTATTTTCATGGTTTTTATTAGTATATTTCTGTAGCCCCTTCAAGCATGGGTCTGTACCTCGACACCTTCTCCTGGCCCGCTCTAAACCCATTGCCCATTAGTCACCCTATTCTGCCAAATAGCCTTCCTAATTGTGTCTACATCACACCTTCTCTGTTTCCACTGGCCCTGGTTGAGGATTTTTCACCTGCCAGACAGAGCAACCTAAGTGTTAACCTCATCCTTGGGTCAGTCCCCTGTTTGAAACCCTTCTTGCCTCCCTTCACCTATAAGGAGAGCTTAAGCCACTG